ACAGAAAATGCAAGCAGCAATAGTTCAAATTCTTTGTAAAGAATATATTTGTGAACTGTTTATACTATTGCTTGTCGGAGTGGGCTAACAGCAGTTTAACATGGATGAGAATAGGACAGAAAATAATGGGTAACATAATTTCTCACAATACAGTGAAGCATCAATTACTGAAAACAATGAAAAGCATTTCAAACAAGAGCAGATGACATAGGACATTTAAATAAATTGAAGAAACATTAACATCAATTCAGAAATTAACACGTGAAATATCTCTATATTTCAAGGCCCAAACAATGATATACATTAAAATTACAGAGAGTTGCACATATATACAATTCCTCAAATATTTAAGTATTTCATGGCCCGATGCTCTGCTGGAATATGTAGTCACTATGAAGGCAAGCATCAAACCAATATACCCTTGTCAATTTTTACATACCTCCATACAAACAATCACGATTAAATGTTGATTGAAATTAAATTCCCCATGGTGAAGTTAAACATGTTACCAAACAATAATATTTATTATGACAAGTCAACGAAAATTGGGGAGTTAGGAATTGATGATTAAACAAATTCAAATAAGATCACAATACATTTTTAGTTTTGGTCGGATTTTGGGTTTAAAGAGATTAAACACACTTAATGACACCCATTAAAGAAAAGCGACTAGTCGGGTTTGAGCCTCCCTAATGACACCCATCGGGTTTGAGCCTCCTTTTAGGAGGAGTGTAAACATTTGATCCCGTTGAAGAAAAGCGACACCATGTAAGATTTAATGTTGATGTTTTTAACTGAGTGACCAATCCATTGTTGTGTTAATAAGGGAGAAAAATAAATAAATCTAATTACCAGGACTCCGAGTGGCTGAGGCGCTCAGGCGATGTGGCGACTGGCGAGCATAAAGGCTTGACCGCTTGAAGGATGGTGGAGAGTCTAGAGACTGGAGGTGCTCAGGCGACTGGTGGTGAATGAGAGAATGAAGGCTGCTGAGGGCTGGAGTTAGGTGTGGTTTTTTACTTTTAGGGTTTTACTTTAACGTCATTTTTTTTCCTATTTTTTTTTTTAATTTTCGGGTTAGGTTGGGTTGGGTTGGGTCGGGTTCTATCCAGTTTAGGGTGCAAACCCGCGATCCGACCTGACCCGACCACCCAACCCGAAAACCGCCCAAACAAATGCAAAAAACCAACCCAAACCACCAGTTCAATCGGTTTCGTCGGGTCGATCTATTTTTTGCCCACCCCTAAGAAGAAGAATTAGCTTAACTTTGGGCTTCAAGTACAATTTTCCATAATTTCATATCTTTAACAAAATTAGCATGTTAATAGAGTTTGAAATAAATATCCTTTCTAAAATTAAATATTTATTTTACAAAACTAAATTATAGTTTTTTCTGCTGCATTTCCAGTCCTCCTATTTTTAAAGGCTTATGGCACAATACACCCCACCTTTTAGACCCATTGTGCTATACCCCACCTTTTAGAATTGATGAAAAACATCTCTGTATAGAAATTGAGGTGCAGAAGACAAAATTTGAGATGCGAAAAACCCTCATATATCATCTTTGAAGTCCAAATCACCCTCTACCATCTAATTCTCTTAAGTTAGACGTTAAAAACTATAAAATTGGCCAAAATTTAAAAGGAATAATCAGGGGCGGACGCAGAACTTTAACTTTGGGGGCACAATCGAACTTGTAAAGAAGTTGGTAGAATTTTTACAATCGAAAATTTACGTCCAAAAAAATCATACTCCATGTAATTTTACATCTAAAAATTTACATGAGATATGACTTTTTCGGATGTAAAATTTCGAAATTTTTTGAAAATTTCCTAATAAAATGATGAAAATT